GTGAACGATATATTTGTTTACTTTAAATGGCTCGAGAGAGAAAAACTGCATTACTGTAGTGAATATATTGACTGCTAAGTCAGTTTTGTGGAACTCACATTTTTTTCGAAGAAAATGGTGAGTGTAATTTTAAGAGCGAGTTTTCGTGGCTCCCACTCCTGCTAAACCCCTCTCCATTACAGACCGTAGCAATGAAGAATAACAGGCGTCACATTTTTTAGATTTTGTTGCAAAATTGATCAAGTTATAATTTTGAAAAATAATAAATAGTACTACTTGTGAGTTGATTAACACAAATAATAGTGCTTGAAACCTGCTGTAAATATCATGAATATGTAAAACAGACATATTTGTCAATTAATTTAATGATTATAATAATAAGAATGTTAAATTAAGAAAAAAAGAATTTTAAAAAACGAAAATTCTTTTCGAAATGCAGAAATTAGAGAAGTCATTACTCTGAATATCAATTATCCTGCAGGCACCTATAATCTACGAGAGATTTATCACTTTATATGTTATGTATTTGTTTAATTAGGCTAGATAATATATATGAGTTCTATATTTCAGCCTCAAAGGAGCTGTGCTAACAAGCTTTTTTTATGAAATAAAAGTAACAAAAAATGGCTTTGATGGAGCCAGGAATCTTGATACTCATCTTGTTACCGGTATATTGTCATTTTCAGGCATTAATACAGGACTTTTTGCCACTTTCAATCGCTTGGTTTCAAATTTGAGACATTTTGAAACTCGGGAACGCGATACTAACACTTTGATCAGACTATCAGAGATGTGCGGTCCACGGGGTTCACCCCGCGGGCCCCGCGGGGCCACGTGGCGACGGGCGGGCGGGGAAGAAAAATTCAATTAAACGCGGGATTAACGGGGCGCGGGTATTTTCCGGCACACGGGCGGGCGGGGCGGGTAATAATTTTTTTAAATGACACGGGTCTCTGGCGGAGCGGGTATGAAATACACGGGTTCGGGCGGGTAAACATTTTTTTTCGGGTGTGATGAAAGATCGTCAAAACTTATCACGGGATGTCCTTAGTATAGGTATGTAGTACAAAGTACATATTGATTGGTTCATTACTTTCATCCTATTATGTACAAGATTGTCTACCATTTGTTTGTTTCTTTCTTTCTTTATCGTCTGTCATACGCAACTTCTACTATCAATTTATATTAAGTGAATAACTGGACTAAAACTTATTTTATATTTAGAATTATCGTTTGAATTTTTTTGTGAATTACTACTTAGGTCTGGCCAAAAGCTCTGACAACATTATATAAAAATATAAAGATAAGGAGATATCTTTAATTTTATTTTATCAAATTTTGAGGACAGTTGCCATGATTATTTATACCAAGTTTGATCCTTTCCAACGATTAGTTAAAAGTTTTTTGAAGTTTTTTCGAAAAAATTTTAGGTATCATGGATACCGCATGAGCTAATCATATTTCATTTATTGTGAAAAGTTAGCAAAATCTTGTTCGATAATATCAGTTGCATTCTAGTACTACTAGTGATGAGATATAGATTTATTTTAGATAGGTTAGTCATAAGTTATCCGATGCTGGCTGGCTTATTGAAGATGAATCGTCAAAGACTATTGTTCATGAATAAAGATTTTAGAAAATACTTTGTTTGGTATATTTTTTAAATCAAATACTCCTGAATGTAGATAAAGGCAAGACTGTAAGTCACAAGTATTAGGCTGAACGCTCTCCAAAACATTTTATTAATCAAATATGGAAACAAACAGAGACATCAGGTTCATAATGTACAAAATTGCTTGACGGTCATCGTTGACTTCATACTCATCTAATGTTATTAATTGCATGACAGAAGAAGGCATCAATATAATATCATATCTATCATATTCGCCAGGCCTGATACTATGTAACTTTTCGCTAACTAATTCTATTAAATGTAGTTTAACTGATTAAATAAATGAAACATGATAAGCTCGTGCGATATCTAAAAATTTTTTCGAAAAAAACTTTTAACAAATTGTTGGAAAGGTTCGAACTTGGTATAAATAATCATGGCAACTGTCCTCAATATTTGATAAAATTAAATTAAAGCTGCCTGTTTACCTTTATATTTTTATATAATGTTGCCAGAACTTTTGGTCAGACCTAAGTATCATCGAATTACATGATTTATCTCCTGATGAATCACTTAATAGGACAGCTTCGTCGAATACTGATCGTTCATCTACAATTATTTCTTCATCCCTCAGTCATTGCTCATCGAGTAATATTAAATGTGATTCGTCAAATATAAAAATGTTTTTAAAAGAACAACCACAAAAATACGTGCTTGTCGACAATCACAAAGTGAATCATTCAAAACCATCTCATATAGACTTGAGTTTTGTTTTTGTAAAAAATGATTTTTCATAAAAGGAATGCGTCATTAAAAATAAAGTATCTGGCAAATAAAAAATTTCTTCGGGTTACACGGGGACGGGTCGGGGCCCGTCACAATGGCGGGTCGAGCGGGCTGGTCCAAGAAGCTGCCTGTGCGGGGTACGGGCGGAGCGGGTATAGATTTGCCGGGGCACAGGCGGGGCGGGGATTCTCAAAAAGAATAACCACGGGGTTCGGACGGGACGGGTTTGTGAATTTTACGGGGCGGGCCCCGCGGGGGATGGAAAATCAATGCCCCGCACATCTCTGCAGACTATAGATAATGCTATAAGAATATTTAGCTGGGCAAAGCGAGTACGGAGAATGTTGATGATATCACGTGGATATAAAGCATATTTTCAACATGCTCAGAATATGCAATTTCCGTAGGGATTACCGAATATGGGAATCTACATTTTCAACTCTTGAAGAATAATGGTTCGTTTCATTCCGCTCCTTAACGTGCTGCCAACGAGTCATTTCCCATATCTAGTACTTCTAATATCCTATCTTCAGTGCAACTCATCCTTTCAGTAGAGGGTTAGCAGCGTTCGCGCTGCGTTACTTGTTTAATTATTCGTAGACTGATTTTTTAGCAGATCAGTACCACTACATAGATGTATTTTCAATGCTAAAAAAAAGTAGTGTCTAAATTAGAATATATTTAATCGATTAAATACTTATTTAAATGTTCAAAACTATTGCTAAAGAAACTAGTTGTATAAGTGAGATCTAAAATTATGACTTTATGTGATCATATAAGATCTTACAAGATTCACAGTAGCATCTTATAGTGAATTAAATATTAAATCTTGTAGTAAGATATTTGTACAATTTCGTAAGATCATACAATATTAATCTCACGATATTAGATGATCAGTCAGATCTTTTCAGACCTTATACAATTTTCGTAAGATTTTTCTACTTGAGTATTTGAAAAACGATTTTGTAGAAAAATAGTTCTTTATTGAATAAATTCATAACAAAAAATTAAAAATGATTTTGGCATGAACATTGTCCGTTTTTGTGAAAATGATGGATTCTATTGGCATCACGAACAATAATATCAATTTGACGAATTTTAGCTATAAGTTTCGTAGCTTCATCTTAAATAAAAAAAAAAAGAGGATACATGTATTATTAAGAACCATCGAGATGAAAAAAGCTAACTTACGACAATCACCGCAGACTCGAAGATTTTTAGTAATTTGGATAAAATCTGGAAGAGATCGTTGAATCAAATTATACGCTATTGCTAATTTTTCACTATGACCACACAACACTGATTCGATAGTTTCTTCTTCACGTAATTGACGAGTTATCCAAGAAGAATCAAATTTATAACCATGTTCAATTAATTCACCTGTTAAACGATCAAGTTCAGCATAGATTTCTGATGATCGTGGATGTGAATGATCATGAGCTTTAAATTGCTAGAAAATCAACAAATTTTCTTTATATTCTAATGTTCAATAGAAATATTTTACCACTATTTCACCATTTACATAAGTCCATGATAATCCCATTTTGACTTTAGATCCTAATTCTTTTATTTGATTATATCGAAAGTTCTTTGCCAGTTGATGTTCACCAACAGAAGAATATATGTTCGCAAGAAGAATTGTACCTGATACAAGACCTTGTTTTGCATCAGGAAACAAAGATTTCATTCGATTATATATCTTTTTAGATAAATTATTATTGCGATTATTACGTGCACCAGATAGTAAACACACTAAAATAAAAACAGATAAATAAATAATATATTAATGTAGTATTATGAAAAATACTTACTATACATCACAAAATTAGGTGAGTTTTTCTTTTCATATTCATCTATCAACTTTTGTGCTTCATCAAATAAAAACAAACGACTGAAACAATCAATCTTAAGTATAATATAAAATAATCATAGCTAATATAATAAATAAAATAGAAAGACAAACCATAACAGTGACAATTTTTTCTGTTTTGAAAGATATTTCATTATATATATTCTGAGCTTCATGAAGAAAACCCGAATGTGAACATGCATTTAAAACACAAATATGTGTAACTTCATTACGTAGATTATTCGGCATCTCTCTATATAATTTAATAGCTTCAGAACCCATTCCATTAAGTCCAAATCCATTAACTTCAAAAACCAACTATCCAATATTAAAAAAGAAGAACTTGGATAAAAGTAAATAAACCTACTCATTGCAGTGTATGTTACTGTATCACGATCATCAACTGATTCATATACATTTCGTGCTTTTTCAACAGAACCACATTTGCCCTATATGACAAAAACAAAAAGAAATTATAAAAAAATGAATTAGTCAATGGAGATCAAAAATCAATATTTACCCACATATGAATCACCGAGTTTTGTACTTGTTTTTGATTTTGAATATGCAGTGGAACTTGATGAAGAATATACTGACTTTGCCGAATCATACCAATTTTTGAACATGCACCAATGAGTATAGTCCATATGATCTGATTCAGAACAATATCTCGTTGTTTCATTTCTTCCCAAACCTCAAAACATTTCCATGGTTCACCATTCATATTGTAGCCATTCATTAAAGCCCCATAAGTAATAATATTTTTCTCCTTAATTGAATGAAAGACACGTTCAGCACTTTGAATATCACCAAATTTCGTTAACATATGTATTGCTGAAGTTAATACAACATTATCATTTCGATAATTATCAGGCATTTCATCAAAAAGTTTTTTTCCAATCTTCTTTGCTCGATCATTGGCAAGTTGACTACATGCATTAAAAACTATAGCATAGGATACAGTATCTAACTTTAAATGAATTTGTTCAAATAAATCTAAGGTTTTTCCTGACATTTCATTTTCAATATATCCTAAATTAAATTTGACAATATTCAAAAAACTATCTAATATATATTACCTTTCATCATAGCACCATAAGTAATAATATTTTTCTCTTTAATTGAATGAAAAACACGTTCAGCACTTTGAATATCACCAAATCTCATTAACATATGTATTGCTGAAGTTAATACAACATTATCATTTCGATAATTATCATGCATTTCATAAAGAAGTTTTTTTCCAATCTTCATTGCTCGATCATTTGCAAGTTGGCTACATGCATTAAAAACTATAGTGTGAATTACACTATCTAACTTTAAATGGATTTGTTCAAATAAATCCAAGGCTCTTTCTGACATTTCATTTCCAATATATCCTAAATTACATTTGACAATATTCCAAAAAACTATGTAATATATATTACCTTTGATCATAGCACCATAAGTAATAATATTTTTCTCCTTAATTGAATGAAAGACACGTTCAGCACTTTGAATATCACCAAATTTCGTTAACATATGTATTGCTGAAGTTAATACAACATTATCATTTCGATAATTATCAGGCATTTCATCAAGAAGTTTTTTTCCAATCTTCTTTGCTCGATCATTGGCTAGTTGACTACATGCATTAAAAACTATAGTATAAATTACAGTATTTAATTTTAAATGGATTTGTTCAAATAAATCTAAAGCTTTTTCTGACATTTCATTTTCAATGTATCCTAAAGTAAATTTGAACAATATTCAAAAAACTATCTAATATATATTACCTTTCATCATAGCACCATAAGTAATAATATTTTTCTCTTTAATTGAATGAAAGACACGTTCAGCACTTTGAATATCACCAAATTTCATTAACATATGAGTTGCTGAATTTAATACAACATTATCATTTCGATAATTATCAGGCATTTCATCAAGAAGTTTTTTTCCAATCTTCTTCGCTCGATCATTGGCTAGTTGACTACATGCATTAAAAACTATAGTATAAATTATAGTATTTAATTTTAAATGGATTTGTTCAAATAAATCCAAGGCTTTTTCTGACATTTCATTTCCAATGTATCCTAAAGTAAATTTGAATAATATTCAAAAAATTATCTAATATATATTACCTTTCATCATAGCACCATAAGTAATAATATTTTTCTCCTTAATTGAATGAAAAATACGTTCAGCACTTTGAACATCGCCAAATTTCATTAACATATGTATTGCTGAATTTGATATGAAATTATTATTTTTATAATTATCAGGCATTTCATGAAGAAGTTTTCTTCCAATCTTCATTGCTCGAACATTTGCAAGTTGAGCACATGCATCAAAAACAATAGTATAAGTTACATTATCTAATTTTAAATGGATTTGTTCAAATAAATCCAAGGCTTTTTCTGACATTTCATTTTCAATGTATCCTAAAGTAAATTTGAACAATATTCAAAAAACTATCTAATATATATTACCTTTCATCATAGCACCATAATTAATAATATTTTTCTCTTTAATTGAATGAAAGACACGTTCAGCACTTTGAATATCACCAAATTTCATTAACATATGCGTTACTGAAGTTAATAAGATATTATCATTTCGATAATTATCAGGTATTTCATCAAGAAGTTTTTTTCCTATCTTCATCGCTCGATCATTGGCTAGTTTACCACATGCATTAAATAAAATAGTAAGAGTAAAGTTGTTAGGTTTAATTGTCATTTCATTTAATAAATCAAGCACTTTGTCCGGCATGTTATTAGACATTAGATCTATTTATAATAAATATTAAATAAAAAGAAATCATTAGTAATATTCACCTTTGAACATAGCTGTATAGATATAATTGGATTTGTTTGTAATTGTAGAGAATAGACGAGTCGCATTATCGATATCATGACATTGCACTATGAATAAAAAAAACATGATCGGTATTTGTAAATAGTGAGTACCATTAAGCGTTTAGTATATGATGGTCTTTTTGTTGAAATTGTTGGCATACTTTTAGTGACTCAATCTTAATACTTTAATTTAAAAGAAGAATATGAAAGGATATTATTTTGTGTAGGACAAAACAAAACAGTAAGTTTGTTGTACTGATTTGAGATATTGAAGAGCTTTGATTTGGGAATCATCCATAAAGAATGTGCAGATAAAAATTGCATTTTATGCCCTTCATGCATGTCCAGCTTCATCATTTCCTTCCCCAATTGGACATCTAGCATACAAAAACAACTTTCTAGAAAGAGCTTGATGACTGAAATACGCTGCTGTTTTCCCTTTTATTAAATAAAAGGTTCATTGAATAAATATATCGAAATTGGAAAATAAATAAAAAAGACAAAACATACATTTCATACCCGATAAACAAAAAATATCATCTTTGACAAAGTTTTTTTTGTTTTTTAAATACATTTTATTTTAACAAGCAGAAAATAGCATATAAAAACGTGAAGTTCAATACAAATAGCAATCAAACATATAACTACGTTGATAGTACTGCTTCAGAAAATAACTAGCTGTTCATGTAGCATCATTTTCAATTATTCTAACAACGTATTCATATTCAACTGATTCATTCGATTCATTTTCTATTTAATAATGCTCTTTAAAACAAACCAAACTTCAAAATTTCGCTGAAAGTTGTGCGAAAAAAAAAGCAGAATATGCATAGTAAGTGTTTGGACATCCGGAAATGTTTGATGTCACTCTCCTCTATTCAGATTTGTCAACTTTTAATGGACCCTTCCACCTTTACCTGAACATTCTTAATAGATGACATCTTGTATAAATGAAATCTATAATTATGCAAGTCTTATGTTACACAGAAAAGGTAAAAAAATGAAAAAGGATTTTTCTTTTTTTTCGCTAAAGATAAACGTATTCGTTCATCGGAGTATTCAGATATTCCTATTATTATACAACCATATTCTGATTGATAAAATGAATAACTTACTATAAAAGTGAATTAATGATGTTTGAATATAAGAATTATTCAATAAATTTGATGAAAGCTTTTGTTGAATAGTAATACCACGTTTGTAATCATTCAATATTGTACATGCTTTTATTGCCATATCAATAGTAAAATTGTTACATATTTCAGCTTGTTGATCGAAAAGATCTAGAGCTTCTTTATATTGTTTGGAATCGATTAGTTTCTTCATTCTTGAGTTTAATGTTACAGATGATGAAATCGAATATTTTTTGTTGTTGTTCTGATATAATGATAAAAAACATCGAAATCGATATATCGAATAACTATTACATTTGATCAATAACATATTATAATCTAGAATAATAAAAATACTATGAAAATATGCTTATTTTCAAAAAGTATTTAAAAAAAAAGTAATTGTAAAAATTCCTCTTGAAATTGATCGTTAAGAGTTAGACTCGATTTTGTTAATATGTCATTTTCATTTTCAGATCTTTTTTTCCACACATGGAGTTGAGTCATCCTCTTATATTAATTGGTACATCTAGTCGTCAATGTGATGCTGAGGACTAGAAAAAAAATATCACTAAACTGCAGTAATGCCTATCTTCTGTATTATTATTCTGAAAACAGCAATATTGGCATTGATTTATTGATTTTTTTGTTTTTGGTTGATTCGATAGATGTAGGCACATTCGGTACACATGTTAATATCGAAATTGAGATTATATTCAATCTCTAATTAGCTTGGACAAATCTCGAATTCAAGACTGGACGCATTCAATTTCGGATTGAAGAAGAAATTTATGTTAAAACTCGAGTTAGTTTGTAGATCGATGCCGAATTCGGAATTTTTTTCAATGGATTATGAGGAATAAAAGACATTTCAACTAATAAAATCATCATTTGATCAATTAAATTTGAATTGACAAACTAATGAACAGTTTTCACTATAGAAGTTTCTGTGCATAAACTTGTTCACAATTTCACTAATTCAAATTTAATCGATCAACTGATGATTTTATTAATTGAAATGCAACTGTTTTCTCTCAGTTCAATAATAAGAGTCTGAATTCGACATTGATCGATAGATTACTTTGAATTTTAATACAAGTCTTCCCTTCAATTCAATATTGAACGCATCCAAACTCAAATCCACGATGGGACGTAATCTCAGTGTAAACGCTAACATATATATCGATTGTCCCAAAATGTTTGCACGCTTTTTATTTTGCCTATATCTCAAAGCAGATAAATGATATAACCTTGAACTTTTGTTTTAAGGATATGCCCTTGAATTTTCTACAAAACCTAACGAAAAAGATCTCATTGACTTGTTCGGATAGGTTTTTACAAGGCTAAAAGTAAATATCTACGTGATGCTGCTGTTTCCTACGATACAGAATCGTCCAAAAGTCGCTATGCTGAAGAAAAAAAAAACTGAATATCTTCTCTATATGTTGAATCAAATGATTTAATTTTTTTTCTACTACTGATAAAGAAGTGTTCATAGATCATATTCATAAGAAAAATTTTGTCAAACACTGCTTTGAAGTATCATCGTTGACTTCAATAAAAAAAAAAACCTGTAACCTTTCATGAGTTATAAAAAAGCAGTACATGTGTTTCCTTGGCCAAAAACAAACTATACATAATTTTTTCTATTATTTCTTCAGACTATTGTCGTTTGGTCTAAAATTTATATCACTGATACATGTCTTAGTACTCATTGTATTCTGAAAGTTTCAGCCACAAACAGTGAGAAATTGTTGACAAAACTGCAATTTATTTCTTTCCATAACTCGTGAAAGATTACAAATTTTTTTTCTTATTGAAGTCAACAATGATACTTCAAAGCAGTGTTTGTCAATGTCTTTCTTATGAATACGACTATGGACACTCATTTACCGTGCTGTTCAAGTACTTCAAGATTTAGTGGAAATTGATTTTCAATAATTGCATATTATAGAGCATAAAATTTTGAACGGAATGAGTAATTGCTATGTTTTTTACAATTTTCCCTTAAAAAGTTATAACCGTTACAAGAAACAAAAAAAAACGGTTTTTAGTCGATTTTTCATGATTTTCTGATAAATTTCACTATTTTTTCGATTTTCGTAATGGTTATAATTTTTTAAGAGAAGATGGTAAAAAACGTGGCAATTACTCATTTCGTTCAAAATTTTATGCTCTATAATATGCAAATATTGAAAATCAATTTCTACAAAACCTTGAAGTACCTGAAAAGCACGGTTTTTTTTTTAAATCTTTTCCTCGAAATGCATTCATCGAATCCCGGTATAGGATGCTTTGGATAGAGAGCTCCATTAGCTATTCAAATCACTAGTAGGATTTTAGCTAGACACTGAGTATGATAGAAAAAAATCAAAAATATGTTGTTCCTATAATTTTGAACAGAACTGTATATATTAAATTAGCGTATAATTGGTTGTTTTCTCTGTCGTAACGAAAAAAAAGTTTATATATCAACCAGAAATGAAAATATACTGAGCAGGAGAGGATGCGGATGCTAGTAAATGTATGGGTGTCAATGTAGGTAGATATGGTGTGTGTGTCTGTGAAATATGGGTATGGATTGTAGATATGATGTGTCAGTATGGGTAATTTGTAGATGTTGGATGTGAGTGTTTCTATTCTTCATTCACACCCACCCCAAAATGAGCATCTATGGAGTTTTCACGTGTTTATTCTGAATTTTTCGAGCATCACACCTGTCTACGATTTTGTGTATATTCCTATTTATTGATTGATTTAGTGTTCGTGTTGTGTATCGACAATTATAACCATATACGTAAGAAAGAACGAAAAAGAGACGTCTTTCTCTCAGTATTTGATGCCCATATATGCGTGACTGGTTAACTATGTTTGCTGTTTTTGATAAAGTAAAGGTGTGTTTTGCTATGTATTGCTTTTTCTTCAGATGAATAAGATAAAAATATTGCAAAGACGAAATAGGGCTGTTTGTGGACGAAATATTTGCGTAAGATCTGATATCGAATAATGAATATTGGGGCAAACATTTTCTTTCTCGATCTTTCCTCTATAGCATGCAGAATAGCATGAAATACATGACGCACTCTCCAATAAATAATGGTTCTTTGACGATACGAAATCAAAATGGTATAAATGCGAATATATAATTGTAGTTATTTATACTTCGAAGTTAAAGATTAGAGTTTTATTCATAATTAAAGAATTTTCATATTCTCTATGTTGATAATGTAACTGATAGTATATTCATTTTATTCTACGACGAATATTTTACTACTTGATATTATCAATATTCAATCATATAATGCATTAAAAAGTGAGACCAGAAATAGTCATTATCAACACAAGATATAAATATTGATAAAATCAGAAAATAATTGTCTCATATTCATAGGTATAATTCAAAGATGACATATCTTTATAATATTTTATATCACTTTTCTTCTTTTAAGGTTAAAATCTAATATATCCCTAAACTCTAAACAACTTACGAAAGGTATACGTTTCTCGTTTTCGATATAATTTAAGTTTGAAGAATTATTTCGTATGCACTATATACTGTTATTACAATAATATTTTCCTTCGATTTCGAATACGAAATGTATTTTTATTTTTACATAGCCATGTCACTTTGATTCGACAGATCTTTTTCATATTCATAACTGATTATAGGATCGACTACATGATGTTATTTATCGAAAAAATCAGTTTGACATAGATCAATACTGCCCTCTACGATCGATAATTTTTTGATTGGTTTTATTTTATTCTTTGATTTAGAATAATGATTTGAATGAAACAAAAACAATCTAATCATTCTGTTTATGTCCTTTTCTTTTCTTTTCTTTTTTTGAACCATCATGATTTTTCAAATCTTTTCCTTACTATTGATTTTCATTAATCTTCATTCAAAAAATCAAGTATCTGCATCACCGGTGCTTCTTTGGAGTAATGAGTAAGTCTAAAATTTTCTTCCTAATCATTTTGATTTAATATATTTTTCTAGGAATCTCCCTCAATCAAATGTTCCTCTTGCTACACTCTCACCATTAAATCTCATATCTGATTACATCTGTTCATTAACTAATAAAAAAATTTATTTACGTATTGTTGCTGTAAACGATGTAAGTTTTAAGACAAACAAAAAACAAAAAAATCATGTATTAATTTTTCTTTATCTAGCTGACTACTGAAGATTTTCAACGAAGTCTACAACATCATCATCCACTTTTATTAGATGCTAAAGTAAGATAATATTCTTCATTTATTATTTGCTAATATATTTCTTAATTCAATAGAAAAATGAAAGAAATTTTCTTTATTTTCCAAATGTTGCTAATGATGTATACAAAACATTTTCATTAATGCCACAATCAAATAATATGAAATGTTCACATATACATTTTGAATTAATATCATTAAAGATTTATGAAACATTAAATGATGGTTTGTGAAAAATTTAACAAAAAAAAAAAAAACATTTTTTTTTTGTTTTTTTTGTTTAAGCATTAAATCGAATACAAACAAGAATAAATAAAATTGGAACAGATTCAAATCATGCTGTTCTTATTGCACTTATAAATGGTCCAGTTAATGATCAAATAGATATACATCACATGGTGAGACACTTTTCATAAGGGGAAAATACCAACTATAATATTACCTATTTTATCAGACAATCATTAACCTCATAAAAATTATTTTGTCTGTTTTTTTTTTCTTTTTGCTAAAAACAATTAGTCTCGTCAACGTCGTCAAATCAATGTTGAGAAAAATGTTGTATTGAGATCAAATAATGCAACGTGTATGTTTTATGCTAAGAATTTATATTGGAATGATGTTAATGGAACATTATCATCTGGTCGTAATTATAGTCTGAATTTAAATAGAAGTTCATGTCAACCAAATATACCATCTACGAGCAATGATAGTTCAGTTATGTATGTGAAAATTTAAATAATATCTTCCTTTTTTTTATTTTTTTCGAAAAAATAATACACACATTCTGTTATTTTAGTCTAAATCTTGTTTGGACTAATGAACAAATGCCAAGCGATATTGTTACTGTAAGGTAAATCTTGATGATTATTTCTTATCCTCAAAAACAAAAACCTGAAGAGAAAAAGTTTTGCCACTATATCAACAATATTAATATTCTGAATAGATAGTCCGAAAGGAAATTTAGTTGACAAATTGAATAAGCATATTTAGTTTTAA